GTGACACAAAAACTTTATACAGAAGGTTTGTTTTTTATAATACTACGTGTCAGGACAAACATCCATATACGTCCATAATAATTGCAGTGCCACTCAGAGCTTTAAATCGTAAAGGTTTGAGGAACACTGCCACTGCGCCCGTCACCCTGAGACATAAGTTGGAAAGTCCTATGTGCCTGTAATTTCACCAGCATCCTTATCCGTCAAACCGGAACACAGTAATTAATGCTCATATTGCTGCTTGGCGGCAGTAATAAGTACAAACTCTTTCACAATGAGCTCTACTGCTACTAAGGTTAAGGTCATACAGTTTCTGCGTACTAGGATGACAAAAATCTGTGGTAGTGACCCGTTTAGCTTTTACAGGTAGTCTCGATCTATGATGTTGGAAATAAATATTGTAAATGAAAAATGTGTACAAATGTATATTTACAAACAGCAATCCCTAGACTTTCTTGCTTCTTCTTCTCAGGGGAATCTACCTTACGAATGAGTAGTAGAATTTAATCAATATGACGATATCAAGTGTAATTTGCTCACCCATTAAATAAAAATTATTTGAGTATGAGTTTAGAGTACATATTTCACATTCAACCAAGAATATAATATGTTTTATTTTTAAAGAAAATAATGAGAAAATGATATAATTAGGAAATGAAACTATTTTTCCGGATTTAAATCGGAAAAACTTCAGACTTCAGACTTGTTTACGCGACGGTGTTCTGCAGTCTGCGAGCATGCCATGGATAAACCTACACATTCAAGGAATTTTGGCAAACCACAGGTCCTTGCAAAAGAAGTCCGTTATCTACCCAGGATGCTGCGAGAGGCCATTGAAATTAAAAAACATCCTAATTTCAACAGGGAAGATGGTTTCTCCGTACCACCAGTTTGGGATCCAGTATTTCCTCTAATGAAAAATCCCAAACAGACATAAGACTGCAGTACTAATTTATATGTTTTAGTTTATTCTAATTTCTATTAATAATTAATAATAAATTGAACTTAAGAAAAATTCATTCAACAAAATAATTTGTAAAACTTAATGTAGCGTAAATTGGAATGTTTTCTTTGTAAAATTAAAAATAAGGCATTTAATTAATAACTATTGTAACTATAGTGAAAAAATAGGGTGGTTTGTATTAATATTAGACATAACTGGTTGAAGACCTGTTGTACCACCTCAGTCAACCGTGACCATGGGACCTGTAAAGGGCCCGAAACGTAGGTTTGTTTGAAAAAGCAAATATATGCGATTTAAATCCGGAAAAATAGTTTCATTTCCTATGTGTAACAATCGCGAAAACCTAAGAACTCGATAAATGATATAATTTTTGACGCATGTACCTTAATAAATATAAATCTAATATGTATCAAGGGGTATTAATACGTAAATAATGAGCGACCACGTTTTATTATTATTATGAATTAATTTATATCAAGTAACATTGACTCATTTAATTGTTAGTAAGCTGCTAGATACGTGCAATTCGCAACAGTTCCACATGTACGGACAGCCACATATCTTTCTACATTAGTTTTGATTATAGTGACCGTCCCTACCGACCCTTAGGGTATACGAGAAGGGCACTATGACCAGCGCGAGCATGCCCGTGTAGGGACCGTCTAAGTCAGGTCTTAACCCCAGATCAGCCCGTTTGCACGGACTTCTCTGTAAGGCTAGTGCCTAAAGTGAGACGCCCCGGGTGCGGACATCATGTACGGATAGTCGAGCCTATCTGCTACCGAGCGCACCAGAGACCTGTGTCGCTTGCGCGTGGTCGCACAAAAGCAATTCGCTCTTGCTTCTGTGAACATCCCTGAAGCGCTACAGAAACGGGGCAGTCCCACCAACACCCGTTGCGTGTAATACCTCCACAAACTGCACGTATATAATTTAGTTTTTGATCGTAAAACAACTAACAGAATTAAAATCTGAATTTCCAATAAGCTTCTTCGTCTTCTTACAAAATGAGTGCAGTCAGTTGAGATTTGTATTGCGAAGTAAAAATATTTTTTATAAATTTTTTTTATTATCTAGAAGTGCTGGCGATTACCAGCATAAGATCATATGGATTTTTGCTATTATAAATCAGTACACGTGCACGGCGCTTATGACAGCGAGGCTTACACAATCCAACTTACCCACAGCAATTTATCTTCTTCACAAGGGTGAGCCAAGTTTAACATCCTGCGCTAGAAATGGACTTTTCCAACCAATAAACTTCACCAAATGCAAAATGTACTCCCCGTACCCCGCATCCTTCACTTCATCTGAGGCTAAATAGTTTCCACTGGACAGACAGTTATTTGCTCACATTCGACGAAGCTAACTGTACACCATCCCTGTTTTTCCTATAACTATGCCTTAAGATTTAAAATTCTTTTTCAGTTTCGCAGTTGTAACTTGGCAAAAATAACTTTTTCCAATTTTACATTTGCAGACTAGAAACTTCTGCTTGCACAGACTTCCGGTTAGCATGAAATTTTTGTAAACGTAGAATTAAGTTAGGTGAGATATATTGCGAACCTGCTTGACGTATGCAATGGTGCTTAGATATAAGTGTAGATATGGTATCTCTTGTACCTATCACTGAAATGGTATTTCACGTTTCTGCTTACTTATAAAAATAAATTGCATAGTGTGGTGTTCAAAGTTACCTTTTAGTACATTTTATTTTTTATTTACTTGGCCGAGATATATATTTAATATGAAAAACTTTAAAACAAAAAGGTAATATTGTTATGTTTCTATGCATAAATAGCGGTAGAGTGTCTTGTGAAAGAGTTCATCCAGGGAATTACCTTACCTAATTCTGCCGCCAAGCAGCAACTGGCCATTTCGGATTCAACTGACAACCGTGCTAAGAGGCTTATAGGTGACTCAGAATTAGTGGAGGCGAAGCTGCAGAGCCTTGAACACCTCCGTAAAGTAGCCCGCTTATCGGTATTTTACGGAATATATCACGAAGAGTGTGCGATGCAATTACACGATTTAATTCCGCTTTCCCCTTTTCATCACCGGGGAACTAGGCGTAGGCTTGGGTTCCACCCTTATGTTGTAGATATTCCAAAGACTCGCACGAAGCGTTACGCTTACACTTTTATATGGCGAACGGCTATGGAGTGCAATTCCCTGCCTGCAGACTTGTTCCCTGAACGTTATAACTCGGGTCTTTTCAAGGCGAGAGTGAATAGCCACTATTTAGGTGTGCATACTCCATCGTTGACTTCATCGTCACTTTCCATCAGGTGAGAAGGAGGTCAAATGCGCACTTATATTTTACAAAAAAAAACTTACTTACTGTGTTTCGGTTTTGAAGGGTAAGGGTGTTGGTTGGTTGGCAATTACAGGCACATGGCACTTGTCAACTTATGTCTCAGAGTGACGGGCGCAGTGGCAGTGCCCCAAATCTGCATCTTTGCGATTTAAAGCTCTGAGTGGCACTGTAACTGTTAATGGCAGGCGTGTAGTTTACCATCAGGTGCACGACTTGTTCATCTTGTCACTTAATATTATAAAAAAAAACCACGCCTCACACATAAAAAAAAAGACAACAACATCAAGAGCATAACATGAAAAGTCATACCTTAAAGCTAAAAACTGTCTGAATATTATAATTACGCAGCAGTTGGCTTTGCCGACACTTATTTGTTCTTAAGTAAAACGTAACTTGAAATCTAATATTTGTTTAAACACAGCCAGTCGTGAAAAGTTTATCACGTCTATGCTTTTATAACAATGCCCGAGAATTTGGCTCTATTAATATTATTTTGAATTTGTTATTTTTTATTTCTAAAAGTGAAGTTCATATTACGATTGTGACATTTCAGTTTGGTTAGTCGACAATAATCGCTGCATATTATTATTTACAAGCACCAAGTTTGCATGAGCTTAAGCAATGTTACTTTATCTCTCCCACATGCTAATCAAATCAACGTCGTCGCCCGCGCGAGGAACGCGAGTGGCGGTGGGCGGTAGCGAATCTCGCCGTTAAGCAGGTAAACAAGTAAACACGTCGCATTGTGAACACCTTCTACGTCAGTATATGCGTCTGGTACTTTCATTGTCGTGTCCTACCTAGTCAGACTGACTACATTTGTTTATAGGATTGTTTTATGAGTTCGAGCACCTTATTCTTTGAGAAATAGAAAATTTCAGCTTAAAGACAAAATGCTTATTTACAAAAGGAAGCTACATTACAGATGAACCATATTTTTATACTTACATTGTTCACTAAATATCCATTAAACTAAACTTTTGCAACGAAAACGTTTCGAAACTTGGGCAAGAATGCTTAAGTTTCATTCTTACTTACGCATAATCCATCAATACCTTTGAAGTAACTTACACATCTATACACACTTGATACACCGATTCTACACATTGATACTTTACACAGACGAGTGTAATGGCCCGCACCTCTCCGCTAGGATCACGACAATCGGTTGGCGTACATAGTTGGACGTTCCAAGTTTGAAAATTTAAAATTCATCGAATGTTGTAGATGTAACTTCGCGATAGTCAAAGACAAAGTTAAAGGAGTTTGAATTTCAAAAGGAGAAGAGAAAGTTAGGTACTATTGAAGTTTAAAAATAATATCTAAACATAAACTAGTAAAAAGTAGAGACGGAACTGTCCAGCTGCGTTTAAGATATAAGTAAATTGCTTTGCCACCTCCTTGAACTGCACATTGCATAAAAACGTGATACAAAGCCATTAGAGAATAATAAGATACGGCGACGTAAAATGCCGACCGGCATTCGCAAATTGATGAGATCGTTGTGTGAACGCACACCGACAACGGGGCGGCCGGGCGCCGGCGGCCACAAATCTTCCGTTTCACTCGGGCCCAGCCTCCGCGCGGTGCGAAGAGGAAACAGCACGCTTCACAGCACGCGGCTGCGTGGTCCGGCTACTCCCGAAATAGGCTGCCCCCCGCGCCCGCCGGCCCAGGCCATCGACGTGCTTTTAGTATGCTGCGCGCGTGCGAACCGCCCGCACCCTTCTGCGCTCCTGGTGCTTTAAACCGTAAACACGCGAATTATAACACATCTCTACAAAAAAATATTTATCGTCGCCTCGATCTAGCATGCTGTAATTACAACCGACTACCATGGTGACCATACTTGCCAACCCAAAATGGAGTGAAGACCTCACTATACAGATGATAATTGAATATGAAAAACGCGAATATCTTTGGAATCCCGTATCCGAACATTACAAGAACAAGAAAATAAGAGAACAAGGATACGTGGAAATATTAAATGCACTGAATCTAGCCGACGTCACAGTAAAAGAATTGAAAAATAAAATAAAGAATATACGGTCGTCGTATAGCGTCGAGTTGAAGAAGATTCGCGCGGCTCGGAAGGCTGGTGCGCATGCGTACCGGCCGAGCGTCACGTGGTTCGAACACGCAGACAGGTTTCTGCGGGCGATCGTCACTCCGAGTTCCGTAAGTCTATTTGTTTACTATGCTTGTGTTTACACATGCGCTGTAATACCCTAACCTTGACAATGAACTTTTTCGTGTAGGTGGACAACAGCTTGCTCGATATGCCGCCGGCGAGTGACGACAGCGATGTTGTGCAGGATTTGAGTGAGCGGAAGTCTCCCGAGAAAAAAAGTCCTCGCAAGCGGCGCAGCTCGACGCGGTCGTCCACTCCGTACGTGTTAAACACGCCTTCCCCACGGCCAAGTACTCCGTTCGGGATGAGCCAAACGGGCGCGTCGCCATTTGGGATCCTCCCGCCGGTTACGTCCGCGCCATTTCTCAACCCCCCCGTGGGGATCGCGACGCCGCTCACGACCTCTCTAGCGACAATTTATCCAGTGCCAACGAAACAAAAGAAAGGCAACGTGGAGGATCGAAACGGGGAACATTCCGATGTGCCGCAGGACTTGAGTCAGCACTCCGAGAACGGTAATGAAAATGAGTTTGAAATGTTTGGGAAATTGATTGCTAGTCAACTACGGAAACTGCCGCTAAGCTTAGCTCTGGACACGCAATTAAAGATTCAGACTCTGGTAAACGCTGCAAGGATTCAGGCTGTATACCAGCAATACAGCTATGCAGGACCTTCTCAGGAAGCACTGTCGGTCCAGGCGTTATCTAACGGGATTTTGGCAAGCATGGCAACGCAGAGCTCTTTTGCTTCTCGTGGATTGATGAGAAACGACTCTCCGGAAGATATGAGTCGTGATCTGAAGACAGAGTATTCCATTGGATCTGAGGCAGAAGACTAAATAAATGCAGGGATTATTGATCAGATCAGTTTTTCGATGAGCTAGATGGTTTATATGGTACGTTCCTCGTCGGAATTGCAAAATACCTCATAATTTTTAACGTAGAGTTATATGTTTGCTCATTTCGTGTTTAATGTATATTAGATATAAAATTACTAAATGTGATAGATGTTTAGGTGTCAAATTTTAAAGTATCTTAAACAATGATGACGAATTATCAAAACGCCAATAATTATATAGTACAAACGATGTTAGAGAGAGGTAGATGATGAAGACACTAGTTAACGAAACAATTTTCAAAAAAAGTTTAAAGTTTGCTTTTTGGGCTCTAGTCATACTTTGGTGTTGTTATAAAGTAGTGGATCTCGATGTTTTTGGCTGTGTTAGTTATTTTATTAGAAATGTCCCTCATTGTAAAGGACGTTAGGTACCGTAAAAATTCTTCAAAATTTTCTTTTGACTGACTTAAAATTTGTAGACTCCCTTGTGTATTTTCTTGACGAATTTATTTTAAAAGTGTGATAGATAGTAGAGAAGTGTTATCAATGTGATTAATATAAAATTTATTAATATTAAGTGCATGCATGCATAATTTAAGGAAGAAAAACATACCTCAATAGAAATACCCCAGAATCTTGTCAGGAGTATATATTTTGTCTGTTATTCTATGTGCCACAATTAGATTTATAAAACAGAAAATGTGATTTATTGAAAATAAATATTTTATAAATGTCGTAATGTTTAGTTTTTATCTAGGTTCATTAGAACCTGAATCCTTGCTATTTTGAGGAATTGAAAAGAAATTGAAGTCTCACCATCATCATTATAGCCTATTGTAGTCTACGTTTCGTCGTATCTATTTTCTGGCAGCAGCTTTTCCGCCTGTCATTACTCCATCTGGCCGGGTGTCTGGTAATGACTAATCAACCATTGACTTTAAAACTTAGCAATAGTGAGTCCATTTTAAGATCCCAAAATAACTTTTCAGTCTATATTCATACTGGTGAATCTTGATTATAAACTTTTAAATTATTTAACTAACTTTTTACCTGATTAGGTTATAGCTCGAAAACACATAATATGCATTTAGTTATAATTAACTAACAACGAACCTCTCTTTGAAATTTCTTCTTCAGATAGTGAATCATCAGTTTTTTCTCTTATGTTTTTAATTTTACATTCAAAGTATTTTTCAATAACATCGGGATGTAGAGTACAACAGCATATTATATAAGTTCTAGAAGACCGCAGACCGACAATATTCCAAGATGTCGATGTCGAAGCAACTTCTCTCGCATCGCCGCGCGCCGACTTGTCATTAATTTTCTTCCCAGACGCGACGCGTCCGTAGCAGGCTTCCAATCTGGTTTCCGCTTCGATATCGTTCAGGCTTATGGTGTCCTGGTACTTGTTTGTCTTACGGTGCTTTATTTTACTTGTTTTTAAAGAGAAAAACCATTTAGTGTAAACCTGTATGGTATGTTCTTTAAAGTAAGTTTTAGACCAGAAAAAAAAAATAGTTTAAAGAACTACAGGCGAGAGGTTCGAGGCAAAACATATTATACATGTGTCAATTTTCGTGAAATGAGTTATCGAACTCAATATAGTGGTGAATTATCATGCACTTTTCAATGGTATTAATTATTACCGGGTTTGTAACTAAATTATTTATATGTTACTACACTCACAAATTTGCCAATTGGATTCCACCAGTGAAAAGAGCATGAAGAGTTAGATAACTCTCATTTTACGAAAATTGATACACATTGACTTTTGCCTCGGACCCCTTCATTTAAACAAGGCGTCTGGGTCCTTTTCACCCATTTTCAGGTAATTTTCAACTAATTTCGGTGGCAATTTTTATTTGCATATTCTAAAATATGATCATGAAGTATTGTTCAATGAATGCTACAATGTAGTATCCTGAATTATTATTTCACGATAATACACTTAAATAATAAAAATTGCCACCTACATTATGTAGAGAAAACACACCTAATATGACCCGACAAATTCATAAATTGTAACGTTTTCATACATTTGTTAATTACACAGTTTTGGTCAACCATCACATCAATCAATTAATACATATAATCATCATACAGTCCATCGTCCACATAGTTTAAAATACTCAATAATCTACCAAAGAATCTCGTAATAAGATTATCGCCGTTTTGTAGATCCTCAGCCTAATTTACAATTTATGTAGGTATGTCAGGCTACTGATTACAATTACAGTATTGATGTAGTAATCGATTCAGCTAAAAACAATTTTCGAACGATCGGTTACGAACGAAAAATTTAAAAAAAATCAGTGTTTGGTTGGCTTTTGGTCTTCCTCTTCTATCGGACGTTCGAAAACATCATGGCAATCCTGAATTTAGTGACAGCTGCTCTAATGAGCGAGGTGTTACTGCAGCCGATCAATTCCCTCAAATTTTTCAACCAGGAGTTCCGCCTTCCATCAACACTTCGTTTTCCTGCGAATTGCTCTTGATGATAAGTTGGAGTAATTTGCACAATTCTTCCTCATGACGTGGCCGAAGTTCGACATCTTCCTATGCTTAATGTTCATAGCCTCCACTTTATTTTCAGTTTATTGAGTACGTATATTTGTAAGCCAGTCACACCATGACATTCTCAAAGTTCGTCGGTAAAACAAAAATATCGATGATTGCTTCTCAAAATCGTATCTTATAAAGAGTGATTATTTAGGAGATGGCAAAACGTTCTATTTATTTGAAATTTCTTATCGAGGGTTAATTTGGATGCATTACTTTAAGATTAGGCAAAAGAAGGAAATGTAATGTGAAATCAGCGTGCAAAATTTGTATATACAATCCATTTTTTGCATTTCAGTATCTTTGTGCTTTAAAATACGAGTTTGAGAAGTAAAGCGACGGTATCTCAGAAACCTCCAGCTTCCTTGTGTTCTGTGTGAGAGTCCAAGTTTCTACGCCATCTTGTAGGATGGTTAGGATTGAAGGACGTAACAGCGTACAATGCGCAATTTTGAGACTCAGGTTCTTATCGCATAGCACTCTATTCATTTTAAAGAAATTTGAACGGATCATTTCAATGCCGACTTTGGTTTCTTGAGCGGGGTCTCCACCTTCATTCACCAAACTTCGTATTGAAAACTACACCATTGATTTTATCAAACAAACTGACAGTGCCGGCTTTACCTACGGAGTAGGGTGGGCGACACACACGGGCGCAGTGTCTAGAGGGCAGCGAGTGTCGCTTGCGACGTCTCCATAGAGCCCGCGTTGATCACGGCGCAGAGAGATTAGAGATTCGTTGCCGATAAAAAGAAAATTCTATAGAAACTAAAGAGAATAAACACAAGAGAAACAATCTTTTTGTTAAATTAGAGACTGTATTAAACTCTATTATACACTTTAAAACCCACTTACGTATTTGGGAAATTTTAATAATTTTTTTCTGTGCCAATTTCAGGATTTTTGGTATCATCATCCACCCCTTTACATAATATCCCTTTGTTGGCCACGGGTTTCCTCTCAGGCGAAGGTTTAGGCCATAGTCCGCCTCGCTGGCACGGATTGGGGACTTCACACGTTTTTCGAGGGTTGTGAACCTTCTTCGACGTGTAAGCTTCATCACGATGTAACTGAAAAGCTCATGGTAAATTTTAAATTAAATTTCCTATAAATATTCCGAAAAACTCAGAGGTGCGCGCTCGCTTTTGAACCCATCCACGGCCTCTGTTTGAAAGGCAGGCAGAAAGGTAGGTCAGTCAAACCATTACGCTACGACGACTATCTATGTTTGAATACAGGTTACATCCCACACCGCCCACCATTGAATGTGCTTTATAACAGTAACCGCTGGTCTTAGGCCTTTTTATAAAACAAAAATTTCCACAAAATGTACAGATCTATCATGGAATTCAATGCTTGCACTTTGTCTATATTCGCAATTCGAAGATAACCCCTCGAAATATTGCGGCGGCTATTTCTAAATGGCCATTTAAAGGGGCCCATTCGAAACCGCTGTGAGCAGATAGGGGCATCGTGTGCACGATCGTTAAAAGTATGAATCTATTACGTATAAATTCAAATAAAAAGCTATAAATATAAAGAAACTTGTCAGTAGTAATTAGCAATTTACATTCAAAACATTGTTTTACGATTGTAAAACAATAAAATATCAAAAATGTAAAAATATTTTGATCTCAATAAAATACGCTTAGAGCAAAATCATTTATGTATGAAAAATTTCAACTCGGAAATAGGTTATGTAATACATACTTTGAATGTACATAAATGTTACTCATTAATACTTAGACGACTGTGCAAAAAGTTAATATTGTACTTGATATAAAATTGTAACATTATTGTAGATTTTCGCGGGAGTCTATTGCCGAACACTATGCAGCCTTTGTACATATATATAATAAGCTCAGTTTCGATTAGATTAGTGCTCGGTGCAGTGCCAGACTGAGTAAGAACTGAGTACAACTCAGATTAATTGCTATAAAGCTATGGACGCCTGGTACTTCTGGAAGCAACAATATCGAACGTACTGGGGTAAATTGGGAACATACGAGTGCTGTCAGTTCATTGGTAGATAAGATAGGAATAGTGTAAATAAATCTAAACTACGTAGTTCGTAGGACATCTGGCGTTGCTCCCCAATTGGTGGATGTTAGATGTGAAAGGTGGTTAATGCGAGAGCTGTCCTTCATTTTGGTCTTTTGACAGTGCGGTGTGAAGATGAGTGATCTGCCCAGCGTTACTCCCTGATATTTAGGAAAACACTCGTGTTGGATTTTGACTCCTTGCCAGTATAGTGTGATGAGTGTGAATGTGTGCGTTATATACTCAGCGTTCGGTTGGCCTGATAGTTGCGCAGATGCAAAGCACATGTCTGGGTTTTCGAAGTGTTTTATAAATTGAGTTTTATATGGTTTTAATATTTATTTATTTAATAGTCCTCAAAGTTTGCCGTTTAATTTGCATTCTTCACGGCTTAGAAATGGAGTTAGTGAAAGTTGCGGAAAACGTAATTGCAATAGAAAAAAGTGTAAAGGCATTTCCTTGAAGTACCCCATAACCTTAGCAGTATTGAACAAGGGTCTCCTCTAAGAAGTGAATTTATTTATTATATAGTCCTATAGTCCACCAACCTGGTCCAAAGCGCATCGAGGATTATAGCTTTGACCTTGAAAGTTTTATCACAGAAAACTTTCCAACATTTTTTATTAAATTTTGTGCGATCCCAGAAACGCTCCATTTTATGTTAAAGCTGGTGTTAAAGTGCGAGGGAGATAGGAGTATAGAAATGCTAATAAATGTGAGAGAGAGGAGGGGTCGGCTACGGGACACTAGTGGGCCGATTGCGGTGGCCGGTAGCTCACCGCGGTTTGTACTGTAGGTAAAGGAGATTGATACTTGGTTATTAATTTATTTATTCATAAATACAATGTTTATAAAAATAAATATATATGTATATAATTTACAAAGGCGATTATCACACTGCATCGCGCCCCGCGACGGAGCGCGGAGCTGCGTTTTTTCACGTTGTACTGAAGTACCTCAGTTTGTATGGAAAACACGCGCCGTCGAACATACTGACACCGCTTCTCCGCGCGCTGTTTTACCGCGTCCCCGCGCGGAGAGCCGCAGCGAACGGCAGGGTATGGCACAC